GGGGGGGGGGTTCCAGCAGGGGGGGGGGATTTTCGGAGGGGGGGGGGGGGGGGGCGACCCCCGGGTTCCGGAGGAAAAGGTTGGCAATTTTCCACAGTAAAGCGGCGGTGGATCACGCTCTCTCTGTTGTTTGAATCTAATCCGCTACTCCACACATGCACATCCGCCTGTTTTGTGGTTGTGTCCGCCCCCTTTTTCAACATTTTCCCCGTTGGAGCCCTGGCTACGTCGTGGCTTCCCCGTTGTGGTGCATGCGCGAGGCGTTGGTAGTTTGTTCCCAGCCCTCCTGCGTTGGGCTCTCGGCTCGAATAGAGCACTGCTGACCCCACCTCTCCTCTCCTCCTCCCGCCTCCGCCTGCCTCCTCCTGCGCTCCCACCTGGCCGGCCACGAACTCTTTACGTGCCGCCACAGTCGCGATCTCCTGGGGGGCACGGCGGAGTAGAGCACGCGCACACAGCCGAGACCTCGCAGCTGCCCGGGTGCCTGCGAACGGCGCCACTGCTGCCACGTTCGTGGGCTTCGGAGAGGCACGGCGGAGTATAGCAGAGTACCCGAGACCTCCCAGCTCCCTGGGTGGTTTCGAACTGCACAACTGTCGCCACTCCTAGTGGGCTCCTGCGACGCACGTTCTGCGGTCATCTTGGAGGCCTCTTGGGCGATCTTGGGGCGATCTTTGGGGGCTCTTGGGCCGTCTCGGGCCGTCGGAAGGCCGAAAAGAAGCAAATGCCAAAATCCTCGAAAACCTTACGAAAATCGCACGGCGGAGTGGAGAAGTACGCGAGACCTTGCAGCTCCCTTTGCGGCCGTGCAGTGCGCAAACTTGTCGCCCCCGTCGTTGGCTCCTGGCAGCTGATCAGCGGCGTCGGGCGCCGTGCGCACCCGGACGAGACCTCGCAGCTCCCTGGGAGGAGGAGGAGGAGGAGGAGGAGGAGGAGGAGGAGGAGGAGGAGGAGGAGGAGGAGGAGGAGGAGGAGGAGTCGGGGGCCACACGCACCCAGACGAGACCTCGCTGCTCCCTGGCTGGCTACGAACTGCGCAGCCGTCGCCACTTTCGTGGGCTCCTGGTGCGGGCAATGTCTTTGTCCACATCCAGTGCGTCTTGGAGTTTCGGACTCTCTTCCCAAGAAACATGAGGCGCACTGGATATGGATTATAATCTGCCTCCAAAAGGCTCAATTTTCATCCATACCTATACGACCACCCTGCGGGTGATAAGGAGGTGAGGGGGGAGGGGGAACCAACGTCTCACTCAATCGATCTCGCTATCGATCTAACATTCGATCTCATTATCGATATCACTATCGATCTCGCTATCGATCTCACTATCGATCTCACAATCGATCTCACAATCGATCTCACATTCGGTCTCACATTCGGTCTCACTGTCGATCTCACAATCGATCTCACAATCGATCTCACAGTCGATCTCACATTCGGACTCACATTCGGTCTCACTATCGATCTCACTATCGACGCCATCATCATCATCATCGTCATCATCATCATCATCATCACCATCATCACCATCATCACCATCATTACCATCATCACCATCATCACCATCATCATCTCACAATCGATCTGACTATCGATCTCACAATTGATCTCACTATCAATTTCACAATCGATCTCACATTCGGTCTCACTATCGATATCACAATCGATCTCACAATCGACGCCATCATCATCATCAACAACACCATCATCATCATCATCATCATCATCATCATCATCATCATCATCATCATCATCATCAGTATCATCATCATCATCATCGCCATCATCACCATCATCATCATCATCATCATCATCATCCACATCATCATCGGGACACTGACGGGACACCGACGGGACACCAGCGGGACACCAGCGGGACACCGCGCGCCACCGGCCGCCCAGAAGGGAAACATTTGGTCCGGCCGCGCCTCAGCCACAGGAGAACCGACGGGACACCAACGGGACACCGGCGGGACACCGCGCGCCACACGCCGCCCGGAAGGGAAACATTTGGTCCGGCCGCGCCTCAGCCACAGAAGACTTTCTCTCGGCCGCCCACGCAGCTTCGCCTCGCCCGCACGCATGGCACGCACGAACACGAAACCGACATCGATTTCCCGGTAGGGGGGCTCTCCGTTCCACTTCGATCTCACCCCCTCACCTCCGATCCAGTGCGCCTCGGCCTTGCGGCGCCCCTTCCAAGAAAGTCCAAGACGCACTGGATATGGACATGAATCTTGTCCGCACCTGGGAGGCACGGCGGAGATGAGGGCAGCCCTGATCGTGCATATCTGTCGATGGGTTCTTGTGCATGGACCGTTGATACAAACACCTTCCTTGCGTGGAGAAGGGGCTCGCTACATCTCGGATGTTTTTTCTGCTATCGCCAGCACGTTTCAGCAATCTCCACATCAACGCTCTGAACTCCTCTTCTTGCCCTTCGTGCCCTTGCTGCCGCCACTGGTCCATCCCCCAAAGTCACATTGTGATCATGTCCTGGCTCGAGTTGGCGTAGTGCATCAGCATGCCGATCATCCCTGTGATGTTCTGGTAGATATCGGTGTGGCGTGTGAGGCTCTCGGGCAGCTGGTACCTCAGCCTGTGCCCAGCTTTCGACATGATGAGGGCTGGGCTGTGATGGCTGGCCTTGAGGGCCTTCTTCGTCTTCTGTGCTTTCTGCTTCTGGTTGTCCACCGTCAGCCAGGCCATCTTGTTGATGGCGGCGACTCCTGAGAATACTTCTAGCGCCTCCAGCGCTGAAAGTTTCGCAAAACTGATATCATCCTCCACGTTCATGTTCATCTTGGTCCCTGCCATGGGTCCCTGGTGCGTAGTTCTTTGCATTGCACTGTATCGGTGTTCCAGTTCAGTGTGACTGAGCCCCAAACAGTTGTCACCAGGGAAGCTGTTTCTGTTTCCATGGCTGGTTTCCTTCTGGGGTCCTTTCGGTTGCGCTTTCTTTTTTGGGGCCTCTCGAGGCCTTGTCTTTGGCTGCAGCTTCGGTATCTGGTTGGCATCCCTCTCACTCCTCCGCGTCCGAGTTGATCCCCATCGAACCTGTCAGTCCACAGGGTTCGGAGGCAGCTTCTCTGATCTTGTCGATCGTCGAAGTGATCAGCTTGCCTCTCGTGTCGCTCAGCCCTTTCTGTCTGGGGATCCGCAGGTGCACGTTGAGGGAGACCTTCTGCAGCCTACTTCTTCTCCACCATGAGCACCGATGTGATCTTTTTCGCTGCCTCGTGACACCTGTGGATGGCCTTACTTGTATCTGGTCTGTATGGGGTCCGTCTTGGGGCTGGGGGTCCCGATCTTGCCGTGCATCTGTTTGCCTGCATGTTCTTGTATTTGTCCTTGGTCGTCGTATCCCTGGGACTCCGATGTCTCCTCCACCTCTGGTCGCTGAGAGTCGGTCATTTTGTTCGCTGTCCTGTCTGTCGCACTCCTGTGAGCCAATATGTCTTTTTTTAAGTAGTGCTAGTGCAGGGGGTAGGGTGGGAGGGGTGTGGTCGTGGGGCGTTATAAGTTGCGTCTGTGGCGTAGTGGGTAGTTCATTAAACGGCGTGGTTGTTAGTGGTTCCTTGTCCCGCGCATTCGGCTTCCAAGGATCTTCCTCTTTCTTCTCGAGACTTGAAAGATAACATGATGTGCGCGATTGTTTTGTGAAACATGTGCCCTGCCGTCCAACATTGATTCCGCGGGGCGCCCTTTCAGGTTCAAAGGAATGACAGCCTTAAAGTCAACCCGCACAGTAAGGGTGGGCGATTTTTCTAAGGGGACCCTGGCATCCTTGCCTCCTCGGTCCATCCGTAGCCACTTTCGCTGGCCGCGCCCCGCTCGAAAAGCTTCGAGACGGCCTTCCAAGGCCCTTGCATCCTTCTCGCGCATCCTTACTGCACGGGTTGACGGTATTCTCGTCTCCCTGCCCCGCCAGGGACGCGCTCGGACTGCAGGCGGAGCCCGCTCTCGTCTCTGGGCCCTGCGATCGGCCGCGCCCCTGCCGAGGCGGCGCCGGGCGAGCACTGGGGCCGCTGGGGCCGCAGATGGGTCTTCAATGTTTAGGAAGATGGTGCTAGGGGGCCACATGCGAACCCTACCCCTACCCCCCACGATTTCTGAGGGGGAGGGTGGGGTTCACGTCGTTCGGGAGGTCGCAACGAAGTGAGCCCCACCCCTCCCCCTCAGAAGTCGTGGGGGGTAGGGGTAGGGTTCGCATGTGGCCCCCTAGTGGCGGTCGGGCCCGCGACCGGGCCCCGAGAGAGTCGAACTCGGAGGCGACTCGTTGTGAAGCCGCGTTTCTCTGTTTCTGGCCGTTTCGGTCGGGACATCCTTGACCTATTGAACATCGGGCGCAACCTTCGCGCAGAACGCGACGCCACGGTCGAACAACACACAGCCTGTTCAACAAGTTGAACATCAAATCTTCGAACACAAAGCGGTATTCAATGATTTTGAACCCGAATCTTCGAACATTGCAGCTTCGCCTGAGACATCCTCTAAACATCGAGACCCTTTTCAACATTATTCTTAGAACAAGGCTGTTTGGCCTGATACGTCCTCCCGCAATCGATGCCAGACGTACAACACACATGACATACACTCTGAACGCACCTACACACACGCACATCAAACCACCACACAACACATAGAACACACAAACTACCTACAACATGTAATACACAGAGAACGCACACACACACACACACACGCACACATACACGTACACACAAACAGCATACACATCACATACAACACAACCAGCACGCGCAGCACATACAACGCACACACACCACACCTAACATGTATAACACGCAGGACCCACATGATCCACACATAACTCACACATGGCACACAACCCGATCCACGCACACAACACACAGCACACATAACACACACCCACACACTTTACACACCACGCATACACACAGCCTGCACACGTGCTTGTATGAATCTTGGCACGCATGTGCCGCTTGTATACACGCATTTGGCCGTGGAAGGGAACTGGGGGCTCAAAACCAAGACCCCGAGCACCCAGTCTGGGCACAAAACCCCTTCCGGGGCCTGCCCCCGCCATGGCCGCGCGGCCTCAGACGAAGTTGAGCCAGGCCGAGATGCTCGAGAGGCTGACCGCTGCGCCGTTCAAGCAGACGAGGGCGGTGCCCAAGGATCGGGCGACGGGATCTATGCGCAGCCGCCGCCCCTGGCCAGGCCCGTCCTTGGCCCAGGATCGTACCGCACGGTCGGACCAAGGCACAAGATCGAGGTCGGTTCGGGGAGGGCACCCTCGTGTTCTTTGGGTTTGTTGCATGTTGCATGTTGTTGTGCCTCCCGGGGGAGGGCACCCTTGGATGTTCTGCGCGTTTTGGTTGGCAGAGGGTCTCGTGTTCTTGAGGGATGTTCTTTTGCACTGGGTCTGGCCGTGTGCGCATCCGCCACCACCACCACCAGCTCCTCCTCCTCCTCCTCCTCCTCCTTCCCCTCCCCCTCTCCTTTGTCTTCCTCCTCCTCCTCCTCTCCTCGTCCTCCTCCTCTCCTCCTCCTCGTCCCCCTCTCCCTCCCCCTCCCCCTCCTCCTCCTCCTCCTCCTCCCTCCTCCTCCTCCTCTCCTCCTCGTCCTCCTTCTCCTCCCTCCTCCTCCTCCTCCTCCCTCCTCCTCCTCACTCCTCCTCCTCCTCCTCCTCCTCCTCCCCCTCCTCCTCCCCTGGTCAGGCCCATGCTCGGCCCAGCGTCGTGCCGCACGTGCCAACCTCGTCAAGCCAGGGGGGGGGGGGTGCACCGCTCCGGGAGAGGGGGGGTCCAGGACGGGCCTCTGCCCGAGGGGCGGCGGGCGTGCACGAGACCTCGTCGCCCTGCAGAGGAGGCCGTCGTCGAGCGCTCCCCCGAGGCCCGCTGGTGGCGCTCGGACTCTCCCGACAGGGAGGGCCTGCCGGACGGCACTCCGCGCCATCGAGGATAAGAGGACCCCTGATCCTATTCCACAACGTAGTGAAGGCGTGGCCTCACCGAGGTCTCCGTCTCTGCAGTGGGGATCAGAGATCTGGGCGATCTGATTTGAGACATTTGCAGAGCACGTACCCCTCATCCCCACTGTTCTTGGCCTCCCAACTCAGGTCGCCGCCCAAAGGGCTGGGGGTCCTTTTATTGCGAACCACGGCGGGCAAACAACGGTACAACATACGCTGCTGCGTCGTCGGGGGCGCCTGACCCAATGCGGCTGGAAAGTTTCTGCCTCCACGCCCTCCATCCCTCCCTCCATCCCCCTCCTCCTTCTCCTCCTCCTTCTCCTCCTCCTTATCCCCACTCCTCCTCCCGCTCCTCCTCCTCCTCCTCCTCCTCCTCCTCCTCCTGCTCCTCCTCCTCCTCCTCCTCCTCCTCCGCTCTAGCGTGTCGCGCCGCGGGTTCTGGCCCACCACGCTCTGGCGCGACGCGCTGACCACGGCCCGGCCCCCGGACGCCAACGTCCCGAGCTTCGCCCAGCCTCCGGCTCCGCGGCGGGGAGCGACACGCTACCAGCTCGCAGGGCACAGCGTGCCGCCGCGTTGCCGCCGCGCCACGCTGTGGGACAAGCTCCCGATCGTGGGCTCTCCGGCCGCCCGTGGGACACCCTGGGCCTCCCCGGATGGGATCGGAGCAGATGTGGTCGGATGAGCGCGCCGCATCGCCGTTGCACCGGCGATGCGGCTCGATGTGGAGCGTTTTTTTTTGGTATGTTTTTTTTTATTATTATTTTTTTTTGTTTTTTTCTCTCCGCGCCGATGCATCGCCGATGCGTCGATGATGCGTCGACGGTGCGGCTCGATCCTGCGACCCTCTCCGCTCCGACCCCATCCTGGAGGCCTCTGGACCTGGAGATTGTTGCCCAGGCGATGTCTTGGGCCCGCCCTCCCCGCCCCCGATAATCTGGCCTTGTCGGCTGCGCAGGTCCGAAAGGCGATGCGCAGTACTTCACCACCCACCAAACCACCCCAACCCAACCCGAAGCCCTCAATTTGCCTTCCATTTCCAGTGTGGGGGGGGGTCGGGGAACGTTGAAAAATCACATGGTATCCGTACCCCCCCCAACCCGAAATTCGGGTCAAATTCGGGTCTTCGGGTTGGGTTGGGGTGGTCTGGTAGGTAGTCAGTACTGGTGCGCGCGGGCATCACGTGGGGCTGCCCACGGCGATAAGGCTGGGTTATCGACCGGCCCCCCCCCTCCTCCACCGGATAGCTCGGGCAACACGGTCGGGAACGTTCAGTGAGCGAGCGCGTCGTGGTGGCGGCCTGAGCGACATGCTGTGGCGTGCCAGCGGATAGCGTGTCGCTCAACTCCGCGGGGCGGGAGGCTCGGAGAGGCTCGGGGCGTGGAAGCCTGGGGCACCGGGAAGCGGGCAGCGAGTCGCGCCGAAGCGTGGTGGGCCTGAGCCAGCGGGCCGGCACGCTATCCTTATGTCGGGCCTGTCCCCCTTACTGGGGGATTTTCGACGAAAAACAAAAAATCCCCCAAGCATAGCCAAAAATAGTCCAAGAATAGTCCAGGGATTATTTTTTTGAGTATTTTTGGACCTTCTTGGTGTATTTTTGGGGTATTTTTCATTTTTCGTCGAAAATCCCCCTGTAGGGGGACAGGCCCGACTTAACGCTATCCGAAAGCTCCTGTCCGTCTCGCCGAACAGAATCAAGAACGGTCTCATGTCGGCCACGCGCAGAAGGGGGGCAAGGGGGAGGGGAGAAGGCTTCTTAGAAGCACCCCTTGCTTCTTGGAAGGCGCGGGCCTTCCTTGCAGATGCAAGGCCCGCGCCTTCCCCCTCTCCCCTACCCTTCAGTCGGGCCTGTCCCTCCACAGGAGGAGTATTCAAAAATAGTGAAAAAATGGTCAGGGGACGATTTCTTGAGTATTTTGTTGACCATGTTTGAATGTTTTTGGACTATTGTCACAAGTTTTTTCCTCGAACATCCCCCCGTAGGGGGGACAGGCCCGACTTAACCCCTACCCCCTTGTGCGCACCGCCAGGCCACGGCCCCCCGACGGCGGAGAGGAGCCCAGCCGCGTATGCACCACCCACCAGACCACCCCAACCCAGCCCGAGGGCCTCAAGTTGACCTCCCTTTCCAGTGGGGGGGGGGGGGGGCGGGGAGCATCGAGAAAACACGCATGGAACCCGTACCCCCCCCCCCACCCGAACTTCGGGCCTTCGGGTCGGGTTGGGGTGGTCTGGTAGGCAGCCACGTTTGACCGCCCGTCGCCCGATCCCTTCAGGCACCCGCGCCTTCGAGGGCGAGCGCGCCGCGCGGCCCCTCCACTCCTCGACCGCCGCGGGCTGCGGCACCTCCGCGCACTACCAGGACCGGGAGGAGAGCAAGCTGATCGTCGGCTACATCGAAGAAGAAGCAGCGGCACAGGCGTACACATGGTTCATTTCTGATTTTACGAGAGTTCTTTGATTTTTTTGGGCCAAGATCCTTTCATCTCTAATTGTTGTGTTCTGGGCCTCTTCCTGGCCACCAGGGGGCCAGGAACAATTAGAAACGAGTACAATGAGAGATAAGCGCGATTAGAAATGAACGACGTGTACCCATCGGTAGTTGGAAGTAGGTATTTTTGGGCTCCCAGATTCCAATCTTCTTCAAGCGCCTTCCTGCTTCAATGATCGAGTGGCTTCCTGCTTCGGGGGCGGGCGTACACCCAATTCTTTTTCGACGCCTTCCTACCTCATGTTTCTAACTACTTCTTCCGACCGAGGGGTAACACAGCCAAGACTCTAGGCCTCCAGGGTGTGGTCCGAGTTGATGGGGTCGGAGGATCGCGCCGCATCGCCGTTGCATCGACGATGCGGCTCGATGCGAATCCCGATCTTCTCCTCGCCTGCGGCGTCGATGTGCATCGCCGATTAATCGGCGACGCATCGGCGAGCGCGGCGCGATCCTCCGACCCTATGTATTCCGACTCCATCGAGAGGAGGCCTCTAAAGACTCCGAGGAGGAACATGTTCCGATGCCGCGGCTCGTCCTGGAGAGTCCTCGTCACCACGGCCGGATGCTCCTCGAGGTTCGGGTCAGGACGCAGCCCTGGCAGAGGCCCAGGGAGTCGTGGTGCTGTTTTTTTGTTGCTTCTCCCTGGCCGAGGCGCCGACATAGGGAGCACTGCGGGCTCCGAAGGGTCTCGCTGTTCTTCTGGCCCTTCCATTCGGCCAAGCACCCCTGCTTCTTAGAAGGCGCGGGCCTTATCTCTATGGATTCAAGGCCGGCGCCTTCTAAGAAGCAGCCGCCTTCTGAGAAGCCTTCCCCCCTCCCCCTGCCCCCTTGGGTGTACCGCCAAGCCATGGCCGATCCTCCGGCGCACCCGGAATGGCCTCCGTTACTTTTATTTGGATTTCCTTCTGGTGCTTGATTTGCGGACCATTCGGAGGTCCGCCTCCAAGGGGGTGGTGCGGCGCAGATCCAAGATCTCCGTCGAAGATGTATGTTTGTGCAGCTACTTCTTCTTCTGACAGCGGCCATATCCCCGGCAAGCTGTCCGGGAACGTCCTCGCGGGGAACTTCTCGCAGACGGTCGCCGAGAGCCAGGAGTACGTCAAGACGTCGAGGGCCAACCGCCTGGGCGAAGGATCCGTGGCCAAGCCCTAGCTGGAGGCTTTGTGCGAAGCGGGTAATTCATACTGGCATGCTTTAGTATTGTAGACGGTGTGTTCAATATGTGTTTGGTGCATTTTCCACTGGATGCCGTCGTGGCTTTCGATGAGGGGCGCCGCTTCGGCGTCGACTTCCGTGGAATCTCACGCCTGCTCTTTGGCTGCCCAACAGTGGCCCTTTGCCACTGGGGCACCTGCGCGACAGCGGGTCCCAAGGCTGTGCCTCTGACGGTCCAGGAGCAGGAGAGCGCAAGCCCTCTGCGCCCTCAGCAGCCCCAGTCCCCAATCCCTCCGTGCTGCAGCAGGGGATGCTCGTGACAGCCGTTATTGGCAACCACGCTGCACACTGTTGTCCTCCTCGTCCTTGCCCTCCTTCCTTTTCATCCGGCCTTGTCTTACAATTTCAGTGGCAGCGAAATTTGATTCGCAGTGCCAGCGGGTTTGTGAGAGGTGCGAGGCTGGTCGGAGGCCGTGTTCCGTGTCAAGAAATCATTCCGTGCGACGCAGGTCTCCTCGCGCACCGGCGATCGAGGGTCCTCATCGGTCTGCCTCCCGTTGGCGGAGCGTCAAGCTGGGCCCCCTCGACGATCAGCTCTCTGAGGCGTTCTCGTGGCGGCGCCGCCCTCCTCAACAGCACCTTCTGGGGCCCACCAGTCCCTCCCCCGCCTCGCACGACAGCCCTCGCGGGCTCCTCCAGGACGCTGGGTCGGATATCCGTCGAGCCAGCCTCTGTCCGGGTCGCCCGAAGAAGGCACGAACGAGCTACAAGGGACTTCCAGAGGCTCACGGACGAAACGGGAGAGGAGGAGGAGAACGTGGAGGAAAAGGAGGGAAATACTTTTAATGCAACGCGATCGTTTTTATTGCAGCCCGACCCTGTCAGCTGGGCGCGCGCGCCCCCAACGGCGCACTCTGGTGCGAGCACAGCCCCAAGTCTCAGCATCACTGATTGTCTGGTAGCGGGGCACAGGCGCGCCCAGCAGCCAATCGGAAAGTCGCGGTTGGCGCGAACGCAATTCCAGTGAACACGGTTCCAGGGTCGACGCTCTCGCTCGATCGGGCTCGACTTTTGGCTTCGGAAGCAATGAATGAGAATTTTTGGTTTCGCCTCGGGCACTGTTGGTTTCGCCTTGAGGGCTCGTGGCTTCGCCTCGGAGACTGTTAATGCGATCTGGTTGCGGCCCACATTGATCACGGACCAGGTCAGGTCGCCTATGACTCAACAGGCTGGAAGAGAACCACAAGGTGCTAAGAGGCCCCAAGACGGCCCAAGGAGCTACAAGGAGCGTTCCAAGAGGACTCCCAGTCAGCCCAAACGAGCATGGCTTTTTTGTTTTGTGTTTTTGGGGGCATTTCCTTCTTTTCGGCTCAAGGCGGGGCCAAGATGGCATCAGAGGTGCATCAGGACGCCCACGACAGCCCGACAAGGGCCCCAAGAGGGCCCCCGAAGCGCCCCAAGACATTCCACGAGATCCTCCAGAACGGTCCACGACAGACCCGTTGAGCTCCAAGACGACCCGAGAGCGCCCCAAGAGATCCCTCCGTAGCCGTGTTGGCCCAAGGCCTGGCCCGAGCCCCCCGGCGGCGGCAGGTCCGCCACCGCGCCCCGTGGCCCGCACCCGAGGGTCACCGCGCGGAGGCTGGACCACGGCGGGTGTAGGGGGCCACGTGCGAACCCCACCCCTGCCCCCCACAACTTCTTGAGGGGGAGGGGGAGGGCTTGCATGTGGGGCCCCCTGGGGTGGCACGCCGAGGACGCCGGCCCGCAGCCCTGGTACCTCTCGCTGGGCGGCGCCGCGGGGCTCCTCCTGGCGGGCCTCTGCGAGTGGGGCCAGGGAGGGGTGCGTGCGAGCAGAGGATCGCCAGGTCTTCGCGCCCCTGGCCGGAGGGGAGCCGTCCTCGGGAGGGGGCCCCCGCGGTGCGGCGCAGGCTGGCCGCGTGGGTCCACGGCGCGGCCAGCGTGGTCGGCTTCCGGACCGGGGGCTTCCTGCTGTGCGCAGACAAGGTCACGGCGGACCAGTGCGTCAAAGTGTTCGAGACTCTGGGGCTGCTCTGCGCGCTGCTGCTCACCGTCGGGGTGACTTATTTTGGCGCCTCGGCCGATCAGCACTCTCACCGTCACGGTGTCGTATACTGCGCCGCAATTGTTCGTTGCTCCTGGGTACCTTGATGAGCATCTTCTTTGCCATCACGTGTGGCACATTCAAGTCACCCCAGCAGGTGAACATCTTCGTTGGCCTGATCGGCCGCATCATTTTTCGGGGCCCGATCATTTTCTTCGCGGTAGGCCTGGGCCTGCTGTGCGGGGAGATAGTGCTGTACTTCAGGATGACCAAAGACGCGGGAACGTCGTGCGCAGTGTGCTCGACCACGTGCTTAGTCTTGACCCACCTTCTTCCACTCCGTGCGCAAGATAGACTGGGCTGTCAAGGTCGTCAAGCAGCCAGGCAGCAGTAGAGCAGCGCCTCGCGCCGGCTCCAGCGCTGGAGGGCCTGCGCGCGCGCCCGGAGGCGTACGTGGACTCCTAGGGCGGCGTCCGCCTGCTTCTCGACCGCGACGAGCTCCCGAAGCGCCTGGACACCGCGCGCATGCGCGCGACCTCGGTGCAGCAGGTACTGGCTGGGGTCGGCTCTGCGCCGCTCCCGTGGGCGAGGCGCTGGGCCAGGTCGTGGAGAGGGGCCGCGCCGCCGCGCGGGCCGCGGCGCAGAGCAGCAGCTGTGACGGCTGCCTCGAGGCAGTGATCGACGGCAGCGCGGTCATCCCTGGCCGGTCTGAAGCCTCGATCCGAAGATCAAGTGGGGGGCCACGTGCGAGCCCTACCCCTGCCCCCCACGATTTCCGAGGGGGGGGTGGGGTTCGCTTCGCTCGGGAGCGCCCGAGCGAAGTGAACCCCACCCTCCCTCTCAGAAATCGTGAGGGGTAGGGGTAGGGTTCGCATGTGGCCCCCTATCAAGAGCATCCTGAGAACGGGCTGTCCACGAATCGGCGGCCTTGACAGCTTGCAAGCAATGGGCAGGCAATCAGTTTGGGGCCCCTCTCGGCTTTCTCAGTTCAGACCTGCCCTTTTTCCCGCGGTCCGAGTCCGTGAGGCCCGAGCAGTGTGCCCGAGTGCGGGGGCAGTGATTTGTCCTCAGTGTTGCCGTGGCTTGTCTGTCAGGCCGAGGATGCCTCATCCTTCCTCTCCTCACTCCCCTCCCTTCTCATCGGCACACTGCCTATACTCGGCTCCCCCCTTTCCGTCAATGCAAGCGAGCATCTTCAAGCGGCTCTCAGTGAGTTGGCGGCTTGTGAATTGCAGCCCCTCGCATGTTGTAGCCCGTTGGCACGCACTGCGGGATAGGGAGGACGCGTGGCCGCTGCTCTGGCGCGGGGCTGGCAAGCGTCTGCGGGCACACTCGTCGCCACCGCGCGCTGATGTGAGGAGGCCTCGTGGCCGAGTTTTGAGGCCCGCGCGCGGGCATCTTTCCGAGGCGGGAATTTATCCATATCCACCGCCTGGAGGGTCAGTTTTCGGAGCCTCGGCAGGCGGTGGATATGGACCTACTCGGGCCCCTCGGGGGCCGAAATATATCCATAACCCACCGCCCGCTGGGGCACCAGGACGTCGGTTCCCAGGCGGTGGATATGGATAAATCCCTGCCTCGCAATCTTGTGCCTCCGAGCCCAGGGTCTCTTAGCGTCCCCTGTGTCCTTCCCTTTCCACCCCGTCTTCCAGGCCATGAATGCACTTGCACGAGTTCTCTTGTGACAGGCTACCTCGTGTGACGTTCCTGCTTGCCTGATGGTCTCACCTCGCAATACCTTGCGTCTCGACAGTGGTACATCGGACTCCACCATATTCTTTCCCAGTATCCGCACGGGTAACATACCTGGAGCCAAAAGAGCTCTCCAAGAGATCCCCAACAGGCCCGCCAGATATATAATCCCGTCAGTAGAAGGCCGCGTCATTATACCTCTGGCGCCGGCGCTGCAGTCAGGACGCTGAGAGAAGGACCACTTCGAGGACCACTTTCGGCTCAGGAGGGGCTTTGGTCCGAGCAGTTCCTTAGACTCGCGTCGGGGAACCTATGCGCGACCGAAGCTCGCCGTGGCCTGAAGAACTCCTTCGTTCCTTACATTGGGGACGCGCATCAAGACACCGAGTGCTTTTCGTCAGGAAGCCCTGGGAGTCTTCGCTCCGTGCGCTGCGCGGTGCCTTCCCGCGGCCGTTGAGGAAGCTGTTGCGTTCAGGGGTGCTCTGGGCCCCCCCCACCTTGAGGTGCAGCCCCCGCGCGGGTTCTCAGGCTTGGGTTTTTGTTTGCGAGGGTTTCTTGCGGCCGCGCCCGCACTATCTTCACCGTTCCCTGCGGCAGCGCGATCACCGTAAGAGGCACGCCCGGCCGCGCCGCCGCTCGCCGACGCGCTCAAGGCGAAGGGCGCCGCGCTGAAGCCGCTGGTGCTCGCCGAGCCGCGGACGGAGGCGCCACGCGCCGCGGCCGCCGCCGCCGCCGTCGTTGTCGGCGTGGGCGTCGCCGTAGCCGTGGGCGTTGGCGTCCTCCTCCACCTCCTGAGGGAAAAAGGGGGAGGGCTACGAGGAGAAGGAGCAGGAGGAGGCGGGGGGGTAGGGGAGATTCAGCCCTCCACTTTTCTGATCTTTTCGCACCACCTGGTCCGCTGCACCCCCCAGCTTAGGTGATCGCTCCGCTAAGTCGGCGGTCTTCTCCAGCATACCAACGCGGCAAGCTTGCGCTTCACGTCTGGGCAATGTCAAATTAGCCTGGCGAAGAACCCAACCATGTGCAGTTGTGAGTATCACAGTTGTGGGTATCGTCTTCGGTGGAGCTCCCTATGGGACTCGACACGCTGTACTGGGCGGGGGAGACTTATGCGAACTTGGCCACTGGGGCCTTCGGTGGAGCTCCCTATGGGCCACGAACCTTTGTACTGTGTGGGGGGACAAATCGTTGAAATAAGGACCGTCTTGGGTTCGGGAAGGGCTACGATTTTCGGGCCGTTCCTTAGCTCGAGGTCGTTGAACCCACTTGTGGACGAGGGTCGCCGTGGCGAGAGGAGCCCGCCCGCTCGTCTTTTGTTCAGCGTTCCTTATGATACAGTTGGGGTGCTGAAGAAGGAACCCTTCGCGTTGGGGAGGGGCTCGGTGTTCCTTGAGTGTTTCAAAGTTTGCCTCAGGCTTTCCTTAGGTTTTCGAAGGTAAATCGAAGTTGAACTTGTGGGAAATGGTGCCTCGTTCCTTATTTCGGGTTCCTTAGGCCAACGCCCCGACTGTAGCACGATGGCTGTACTGCCACACTTGGCAGGTTCGTCGGCTTGGTCGGGGATGGCCGCGCCAGCACACTCAGGTGCGAACTCTTCCATCTCTGAGTCTCCTTCTCTGCTCCTCCCCCCTCCTCCTCCTCCTCCTCCTCCTCCTCCTCCTCCTCCTCTCCTCCTACCTCCTCCTCCTCCTGCCCTCCTCTCCCCCTTCTCCTCCTCCTCCTCCTCCTCCTCCTCCTCCTCCCCTCCCTCCTCTCCTTCCTCCTCCTCCCTCCCTCCTCCTCCTCCTCCTCCTCCTCCTCCTCCTCCTCCTCCTCCTCCTCCCCCACTTCGCGGCCGCCTGTCCTGCCCTCTCTTCCCACCTCTTGCATGCGGGCCACTTCGTTTCTCGGGATGCCCCCGTCTAGCTCCTTTCGCTGGTGCAGGCAACTCTGCCTCGCCGCCGACAGAAATCAGGAGGAGAGAAAAAGCGCAGAAATCAGAAATCAGAAACCAGAAATCAGAAATCAGAAATCAGGAGGAGGAGGAGGAGGAGGAGGAGGAGGAGGAGGAGGAGAGAAATCACAAATCAGAAATCAGAAATCAGAAATCAGGAGGGGGAAAAAAGCACACAGACACCATGAATCGTCGACCCCCAGGGAAACACGGGAAGGTGTGGGAAGCGGGGGGGAAGACGAAGATCCAGAGCATATGATAGCACAGGGGACATCGCGGGCTTTGTGTCTATTTCCCGACCATCCTGTGGTGTTGGGTCCTCGTTTTGAAGAGACGGTACCCCGCGTTCCTTCCTTCCTTCCTTCCTTCCTTCCTTCCTTCCTTCCTTCCTTCCTTCCTTCCCTCCTCCCCCTCCTTCCTCCTCCCCCTCCTTGCCTCTGCTCTCGGCACACCTCTCACACGTTTCGTAGCCCCATAGGGAGCTCCACCGAAGGTCCCAGTGAGGGGGGGCGCATGCGGTTCCCACACCCAGGGCAGCGTTTCGTGGCCCCATAGGGAGCTCCACCGAAGGCCCCAGTGGGGGTGGGCGCATGCGGTGCCCCCACCCAGGGCAGCGTTTCGTAGCCCCACAGGGAGCTCCACCGAAGGCCCCAGTGGGGGTGTTCGCATGCGTCTCCCCTGCCCAGGACAGCGCTTCGTGGCCCCACAGGGAGCTCCACCGAAGGCCCCAGTGGGGGTGTTCGCATGCGTCTCCCCCACCCAGGACAACGTTTCGTGGCCCCATAGGGAGCTCCACCGAAGGCGCCAGAGGCGCAGTTCGCATGCGTCTCCCCCACCCATGACAGCGCTTCGTGGCCCCATAAGGAGATCCAGCGAAGGTCCCAATGGCGCAGTTCGCATGCGTCTCCCTCGCCCAGGGCAGCGCTTCGTGGCACCATAGGGAGCTACGCCGAAGGCCCCAGTGGCGGTGTCCACATGCGTCCGCGCCACCGATTTCGGCGCACCCCTCACAAGTTTCGTGGCCCCATAGGAGCTCCACCGAAACCGGTACCCACAATGCGGTACTCGCAACTGCACATGGTTGGGTCCTTCGTCAGGCTAATTTTTGTGTGTCCCAGGGCCCCTTCGAGAAAGATGTTCGTCCGCTGAGCCAGGGGTCGCTCCTGGGGCAGCAAAGGGGGCCCCGGCCCCGCGGCCGACGGGGGGAGGCGGGGCTCGCGCTCTCTCGCGCCTGCTGCCCTGTCTCAGTTGCCTTTTGCCTCGCCGTCCGGCTGCTGCTGCTGGGCCTCTAAGAGCTCAGCCTTCTTGTCTGATGTTGCTGCTGTTTCTGGGCCTCTAAGAGCTCAGCCTTCTTGTCTGATGGTGCTGCTGCTGCTGATGGTGCTGCTGATGCTCATGATGAGGCTGATGATGATGATGATGATGATGATGATGATGATGATGATGATGATGATGATGGTGCTGATGATGATGGTGATGATGAGGATGATGATGATGGTGCTGATGATGATGACGATGACGACGATGGTGATGCTGCTGTTGATGATGCTGATGATGCTGATGATGAGGCTGATGATGATGCTGGTGATGATGATGATGATGATGATGATGATGATGATGATGGTGCTGATGATGATAATGATGGCGATGATGATGATGATGATGATGATGATGATGATGATGATGCTGATGATGCTGATGATGATGATGATGATGATGATGATGATGGTGGTGATGATGATGATGATGATGATGATGATGATGATGATGATGATGGTGATGATGATGATGATGATGATGGTGATGGCGTTAAGCATGACGCCGGCGGCGACGTCGACGGCAACGGCGACGGCGGCAACGGCAGCGGCGACGACGACCGCAATTCCCCATGATCATGGTAGTGATGGTGATGCTTGTGATGCTGGTGATGATGGTGACGCTGATGATACTGATGGTGATGATGCTGCTGCTGATGATGATGGTGGCGATGATGATGCTACTGCTGCTGCTGCTGCTGATGATGATGATGATGATGATTATGATGATGATGATGCTGATGATGATGAT